ATATTAAGAATACACTTTAAATCTGTATTGTTATAAAAAGCAACCATTGTGCTATTGAGGTCTACAGATGTTACGAGCAGTTGATTGTCACGAGCACCTCATTAGTACGAGGCCGAATTTTTGGCTGCCTACTGAACACTACTATAGCTGTTTCACGGGATAGCCATTGTTATCAAATAGCATTTGGATATGTTGCACCCGAATTACCCAAAGTTAGTTATTGCAGGTGGTATAATGAAGATGAATATTTTTTTTTCAGTTAAATTTTATTTTCACTAAAAACACCTGAACTAACATTAACCCTTTTTGTACTAAATCTTCTTGAGCGTGAATGATAAAGCATGCTGCTGTTGTTTATGCTTTATTATTACCATGTTTATATGACAAGCTTTAGTACCAGAGTCTGTCCAATCTTGAAAACCATACGCTAACCGAATTCACATTACCCTTGCTATTCCGAGTATGAAAATTGGCTAACGGTATCAAAATGACACATTAAAGCCCCTGACGCTAAAAACCCAAGTCTCTGGTCACTGGATCTAGTATCATTGTTATCTTAAAGATTTCTAGCCATTTGTAACGAATACCTTCTGTTTACTTAGTCCCATTTACTCCATTACTTCCCTCTTCGGCGAAGTATTGGCTACAACATCTAAACAAATCGATTGTAGGAAAATAGAGGGAAAAAAAACAGAAAAAAGTCACAGGAATATAACCGTGCCTCAGTGGGGATGTAATGTGATGTCACACTGAGGTGTAGTGTTTTTAAGGGCTGACCCTGAGAGATCACACAAACGAAATTACGCTGTTGCTGATAGATCCTGTATACGGCAAACCCGTGAAAAAATGTGAATACATATACACATGCGAATACACATACTTACACGTCAATATGGAATGTATATATATATATATATATATATATATATATTCATATACATACTTTTTTTTCATACGGGGGGGGGGAGTGTTGACACCATTAGGTGCCGCACTGGGTGACACCCGACCTCGCTACGCCACTGGGCCCAAGCCACATAGGGCCCTTTTCCCTCTTAAAAAATTAAACTTATAATTTTAATGTTTGTTTTATGTAAATAATGTTAAAATGAAAAAGGAAATCCAGTTTCTTTTCTACTGTAGACATAATTAAATGTTTCAAAAAGGCCCCCAGTCCCCTCTTTACTGTACAGGTATTGGCATTCAGGGGGGAGGAGGGGTCGGCGAACAGGGTCTATATGGCGCTACTAATTCTATACGTTTTTGGTTTTCATCCAATCACCAAGAAAAATTGGGAAACATTTGCTTGAAAGAAACTCTGGCAGTTGGGAAAGTTTCTAGGATTTTTTTCTATGGCGGCGCCACGGCAATGAGACGGTGCTGTTTTCCAGCGGCTATCTTTGCGCCTGGGATCCGTTGATTGAAAGTCCAGCGCAGCTGTCAAATTTGCACAAGTGCATCAGCCGGCGCCCAGGCGGTCTCGTAACCCGATGCGCCCTGGGCTCCCCAGTGGCATGATAGATTATAACTAGATTATATAACTTACCGTTATAGTTATAAAATAGCTAAGTTATAGGAGTTAAATTAATTGTAGTACAAGGGAACCTATCTTGTAAATACCTCAACGTAATAAGGATACAAGAGTACATTCCCTTAAAATTATTTCCTAGATTTAGCTTATTTATCTAAACTCCAGCCAATTTCGACAGTCTCACATTAATCCTGCTGAGAATGAGCTTTTAATAATTATCTACCCTGTTTGGCGCTCCCTTAGGGTCGGCGTCCTTGGTGGCCGCCTCACCCGCCCTCCTTAGCTACGCCTCTGATAGCAGGACCTTAGTAGTCGGTGGAAATAAAAATGAACTGAACAAGTGTGAGTTTATTTACATTTATTACATTTTATTTAATCTACAGTAGTAGATTTTAAAGTGTAAGACCATTTCAGTCCTCTTGCATCATATGTCTACTTGTCTGATTGCTACAAATAGGCCTCCCTGTGCCGCATGCTGTACAGCTTGCTGTTTTCTATAATTTAAACAGGAGTGACGAGTAACATAGGCTGGAATAGACCTTTATAATCATCTGCAGTTGCCGTCTTTGTAAGTTTTACAATTTACTTTTGCTACGACCTTCTGTACTATGTGATGTTTGTCTCTGTGGTAATTAGGGCGAAGTAGTAATCAAGAGCCGTTTAACATAGCAATGTAAATTTTGTTTTCATAAACAAGTGATTGTTTCAGGCATCTCTTCGTTGAAAGCTTCAACATCGAGATTGTTGGTATGATACAATGACGAGAGTTGTTAAAAGGCGAAATTGCGAGGCGATAAAATAAGAGAAATTTTGCTAGATTTAGTCTCGCATTTTACCTCTCCTCCTACAGGGTTGGTAGGCTAGGTGGAAATAAAAATGCAAAGTTGCTTCTATTAACTGTTTCATCACCAAGGTTTTAAAATGTGGTACCATTACACCTCGCTTGCATCAGTCGACAAATTTTCTGATTTCTACAAATAGGCATAGGCCCACGTATCCCAAATTGCTTGTATTCTACAATTAAAACCGACTTTGGAGAAGTAGAAAAATACTTCAAATGTTCTGCACTTTGTTATCCCTGTAAGTTTTACAATTTTATATTAATTTTATGTAAAAAAAGTTGTTGGTCATTTAGTTAAAAGGTTAACTGTGTTTAAGTCTGTTGAGCAGTTGTTGCGAACCCTGTTCTTATAAGTAATACCAGTCTGTTTGTTGTTGTTTTTTTCCTATTTGATGTTCATTCTTCCGAAGACTTGGGGGGTCATCCATAAATGACGTCACGCTTTTTTTGACGATTTTTACCCCCCCCCCCCCCCTCTCCCCTTCGTTACACATCGTCACAAAAAGCCAGACCCCCCCTCCCCTAAAATGACATCACATCTCAGCCTACAACCCCCCCCCCCCCCCCTCAAAATTGCATTTGAATTTTTTTTAAAACATCGATATTTTTTCCAAAATCTTGTCTAAACTCTGTCAAAATAGAGTATTTTAATCAATTCCTATTACAATTTTTTTTAAAAAACAGTTTTCTAAAACGCGAAATAACGTCTAAAATTCGTTTTCTAACATTCCTTTTTTCATAATGCAAAAGTGTGACGTCTCACCATCTGACCCCCCCCCCCTCCCCCTTATCACACACCGTCACAAAATTACGGACCCCCTACGAGTGTGATGTCATTTATGGACGACCCCTTGTAGAAACTGCACCAAAAGTCTCGATCTACTTCGAAAAAGTATTGCATGAACAATAACATTGACAATAGTTCAAGTTTGTACGAAATGACTTCGTGGAACAAACTGCATACCTCCCAGCCTCCCCATGGCCTAGGCGTAAAATCGGATAGGCTTTTATTATAATCATTCAATAAACACGTTTTGTAGCTGATAGCTATTTGTGTGAAACGAGTTGAGTGTCGGGTTTTATTTATATTATAGACGTTATGTGTGGGTGGTGATCTGCAGTGTTAAGTATAGATATAACAATACTTTCAGCCAAACAAAATCTGTATATGATATGCAGATGAAATCAACTCAACGTTAACATTTTCTACGAAAGTCTAGCCCAATCAGGAAAAGACGTGACGTCATTTATGGACAGCCCACACGCCAATTTTACTAACGAAGGAAGGCTTATGACGCAATAGTGACCTTTGTGAGAAAGAGACTCCTGAATTTAAAATTTTTATTTTCAGCTCATCGTGCTTTATAGATCTATAACTTTACAGATTTTTAAAATCTTTTCTAGATCTAGAAAATCTATATATTAGGCATTATTATTATTTCTTGCTCTGTTACTATTTTTTTTCACCCTTTGGTTTTGGATAATGTTATTTTTGCGTTCTGTTTATTTTTGTGATTTTTTAAAAATGTATATAATATTATTAATTTTCAATATATTCCTTTTTATAACTAATGCTATTCTTTAGTATGTCTTATTTGAACCATAATTAGGAGAAGCAATTGATTTTTAATTTATCTAGATCTAGTACAAAAGCCCTATTAGACTATTTAAAGAAGGACAATAACTAATAAGTCATTGAAGTAATGTGACGTTTGCATATCTTTCAAACTAAAGCTCATGTAGATTTTTTAAATATTTAAAACTAAAAATATTTCTTAGTTACTGTAGAACAATCACTGCTATAGTAGACTTTTTTATTTTATTTTTCTTATTTAATTATTTTTTTTTTTGGTACAAAACCACAATCAAGTTGCACGAAAAACATTATTATGAAAATAAATTCATTGGGTTTTTAAATCGGAATTGTCCCTACCCTCATCACCCCCACCTCCCCCCCCCCCCCCCCCCCCCCCCATCCCCGCACTGCGTGGTCTGGCTGCTTAGTAGTTCAGCCCCTGTTGTGTGTCCGAGTTTGACCAGTCTATTTTTGTCCGTGCCAGTGGTCACAAAGCTATTGACCTACATTAAAGGGTAGCATTGAGTTGTTTAGTTACGGGCAATGTGCGACGCCCTACGTGTAGCAAAGTTTTGTAAGTAATGTTGAATTTTTGATTTGCCACATGACAGATCTAAATTATAATTGTAATTAATTAATTTTATAACTTCATTTGTGTTAATACCTAATAATTAAGACTGACAACAAAGGCCTAATGATAGACAGTTTAGTGAGTGGGTTAGTGAATAGTAATAGTGGTGGTAGAGTATGAGTTATAAAACAGTCTCAGTCACAATTAGAATTAGTTAACTTATTACTTTCTTTCTTCTATGGTTCCTTTAAATGTATTTGTTTCATGTTTCATTTGTCACACTATGCTATCACTAAAAAACAACTAAAATGGATTATCAACTGTCTACATTGAGTGTTTGATATGATAATTTTGAATGAGTGGATTTCCATTTTCTCTTAGGGTTATTTATTATAGGCCTACAGTGATACAGCTGATTGCAAACCTGTATTATGCTGTGTATTATTTCTCTTGGTTGAGCAACATTTAAATGAGTGAGATAAAGATGAATCCAGATGATGCAAAGGTAATATTTCTCTATTTGATTGGTAGGTGTACTAAAAATGTGAATGACTTTCCCAAACCTGGCATCCATATAGCAAATTAAGCAGCTAAATATTAAATATATTGTATCACACAAGACAGTAAAACTCCACAGCTTAGGGTTAACTTAACTTTTCCCCTAAAATTGTCAGGTATATGACCCAGTGACCCATCAATGCCTTGTTGGTGAACACAGGAATGTCTTACAGTCATCCCCATTTTTAATTAATTAATTTAACTAGGCCTATAAAACATAAGTTTCTTGACCTCAGCATATGAAGGGATAATGTGGTCAGCACTATTCCCAGCCGCCTTTACTCTCCCATCCGAGCTGGGTGGACTCAGGCACGCTCCACTTAATTGAACCTGGATTCGAACATAAGACTTTCAAGTTAGCTATCTTGCCTATCTAGCGCTCTACAGCTAGGCCACACCGTCCAATATTCATGAAGGGGTAGAAATTGTCTTCTAGAATAAAACTTCATGTATTTTTCAATTATTAGGAGTCGTCACTGGCCTGGCCAAAAGACAGGTGTGTAGAATGTCAGCTATCTACGAGGACAACACCTACCAATTTTGAAGTAAGTTTTAGCTCTTCTGTTGCCTGGTTATCTTTCAGACATTTATCTGCTGGGTGGGGAAGGATAGCATTTGAAACTTCTGGGATATGCACATAAAATTTGAGGGGGTGGGTGGCGGACACTGGTTGAAGTATGTATTTTTTCTATACAAATTATATTTCTGTTTCGTACGGGGAGGGAAGGTGGGTATCCTCCATGGTGCAGTGCCCTCTGCTTCGAAACCCCCCCAGAAACTCTGTCTTATGTTATCCATACAATTTTACCATACTCTTTACATTGACCTATCCCTTAAATTTGAATGTCTAATGAATTTTTAATGATCTTTATATAGCTAAAACAGCAGCTGATTTCAAGAATAAGAGACAACGATAGTGACTATGTTAAAACTACATTAAGCAAATTTAAAAAGGAAGAGAGAAAACAGATTGCGGATTCTCCCAGAATTCTCCTTGATGACCTTAGCACCTTGTTAATGCATGCTGTGTATCATGGTCGCACTGAAATCATCGATTATTTAATTGATGATTGTGGTTGTGATGTTAGCATTAAAAACATTGCTGGCTGGACTGCAATGATGTTTGCTGCATTAAAAGGACACATAAAGATTGTAGAGACACTGATAAACAAAGGAGAGGATATTGATGCAGTTAACAGCTTTGAATCCACTGCACTCCATATAGCCGCAGACGAGGGTCATGAGCACGTTGTTAGGAAGCTGCTGGACTGTGGGGCTGACCCGACTTATAAAGACAACGCATGCTGGACTGCTCTTGAAATAGCAAAATATAACGGCTTTCACAGCATTGGGACTTGCTCAAAGACAAAATGGTAACAAAATATACACCTTAAGTGCTAATATCATTTCATTTTTATCCTTTTTAATAAAACTATGTAATTTATAAATATCTTTAACTTTAAATTAAATCATATTAAAAAGTTAATTTCAACATTCACAACTTTGACTCACAAACATATACGAATGTAGGCTTCTATGTATATGTATGTATGTATGTATATATATATATATATATATATATATATATATATATATATATATATATATATATATATATACACATACATAAATATATATTTCTTTCAATCCAACCCAACATTATATTGTTTCTGAAAAATATAAATTAACATATGCTTTACTATTATAGTAGTTAAAAAAAAATTGTTTTTTTTAATTTTCGCCTTTTTTTAGCCTCGAGATTTTCTGGTTAACGAAGAATTGCTGCGGAGTGTTCGATTGGACGATGTTGTGAGTTACAAGAAATCTTTACAAGAAAATAAACTTGATACTAGTGAAGTTTTAGACTCTCTATTTGATGGTACGATTTCTTGGTTGATGTGTGCTTCTCACTACTGTAGTACAGAAATCGTCAAATACTTGATGGAACTAAAATGTGATGTCCATCTAAAAAGTAGTGCTGGATGGACAGCTTTAATGTTTGCAGCAAATTCCGGGCACAAAGATGTTGTGAATGTATTGTTGCGTGCTAGGTCTGACATAGATGCTACTAACAGATTAGGATCTACTGCACTTCAAAGGTCATGTCAACATTTTTAAACAGCTTCTGGGTCATCAAGCAAGAGCTGACATAAAAGACAGTGCAGGTTTGACAGCTTTTCAAATAGCAAAGACAGGTGATGTTTGTGAAGAGGCTAAAAAGGTAAATACTGAACAATAACATGTTACTTTATTTTCAGTATTCAAACTTGTCAAGTCATGTTCAGGGAGATAAATATTTTTTCAAGTTTTGAAATTTTGTAGTTTTGGATTCTAGATTATCTAAAACTGGAACTAAACTTAATTTTTGTTTAGTTGGTGTTTAAGCCCACTCAAAAAGCTATATTCAAATAATTAATTGTTATTTAGCCCCTTTAAAAATAGCTATATTCAACTTAATTAAATGACTTAATTGTTTATTGTAATTTAAATATCTACTTATTGAATGCTGTCCCTTGAATAGGTGATTTCAAAGATGATTACATCAAATTACATGAGTAGCTCATTTCATCCGATTGCTGAAATGATTGGTAAGTGTTAAATGTAGGCTTGTGCTTGACTGAAAAATTCTTTATATCTTATAAGTGCAATTACTGGAAGTATAAATTAATGCCTATCAAAAGAAAACTTACCTTATGTAGCCAATGATATCAGTATGATTTTTAACTATATTTTTTTACAGACTTTGCATATGAGTACAAGACATCTTGCCTTAAAATTGATACGATTGATATCAAACACAAACCATGTTTGGAGTTTGTCTATGATGATATTGACTTAGACTATGAGGATCTGTCAACAATGCTTTTGTATGTTTCAATTTTTATAAGAGTTGTTAAATTCTATAAAATACAGTAAGTAAAGTTCCCCTACCAAACCTGATGGTCTATGGGGCAAGGGAATTAGAGTTCACTGTTTCTATTACCTTGGCATATGAAGGAATAGTGTGGTCAGCACTATGCTTAGCTGCCTTTACTTTCCCTAACGTGAAGTAGGTACCCATCAGAGCTGGGTGGACTCAGGGCAGTCTACTGACTTGAACCAGGATTTGAACTCAAGACTATGTGTTGCAGTGTAGCTCTCTACCGTTAGGCCCCTCTGTCACTGTAAAATACAGTAATGACATACAGTGTTAAAAGATTTTAAAATTCTTGGCAATATAATTATCTTTTTAAATCAGTACACTACCCTTTTTTCAAACTGCTACTCACCTAAATTTTATCGCTATTTCACCTCGATTACTGCCACTGGACCCCACCTGCCCCTGATCAATTACTTCTGTTTCACGTCCATAGCCCTAAAATTTTATACACTGTGACATGATAATATTAATATACTTGACAAGTATAAATGCTTATATTTCCACAAACATTAGTTACTATGTTTAAATAGCAACTAGATAATGGTGGATTAAAGTGAACCAGATCACAATAGAATTTTACATTATTATATATTATTGTTATATATTATTATTATTATATATTATTCAAGCCACACAGCTTGTTCCTATACCCTAAAGTTTAACCGGCATCTATACCATCCACAGTCTTATAATTAAAAAGAATTATTTATTTTCCCTCTGTCCTTATCAAATCTACTAGTTGTTTAAACCATTTCTCAACAGGTCTAAGTTGCGTGACATCCTCCGTTGCCTAGGTAACGATGTTCTAATGTTTACAAAAACCAAAGGGTCTCTAGCAGTTACATATTTGTCTCCCTCCTACTTAATGTCAACTGACGGTGAAACGTTGGTGGCACCTCGAGTCGAGTATGGAATTCCAGGACATATCCTTTTATAAACTTTCAAATTTTATTTGTGTTATGTGTATGCTGTACGTCATCATTATCTCCCGTTTGTGCCCAAGTCACATGGGGTAGATGAAGTAGAGTTAATCTGATTCAGAGACATCAGCATATGAAGGGATAGTGTGGTCAGCGCTATGCCCAGCCGCCTTTATTTCCCTAAACTGGGTTGACTCATTGACGAACCACTGATTTGAATCTGGATTTGAACTTGAGACTCTCAGGTTAGCAGTCTAGCTCTCTACTGCTAGGCCATGCCATCCCCTATGATGTACATAATGCATGTTATTCGAAATACAATGTTTTTATTTTAAAACAAGCTTGATATATTTATTCTTTCTTTGGGTTATATAACATTTTATCAGGACAAAACCTGATACATCACCTATTCTTCTTTTCATAGCTGAAAACTATACATTTGTGTGTACTACATTTATATATGTAATACTTCTATTAGTTTTAATTTTCTTTCAATTTTAAAAAAATGTTTTATTGACTTTACTACCGTTACTAACACGCAGCATTAGCTTTGACATTAGTACACTGAGATCAGTGTTAAAGAATCCAATGTTTAAGACTGAAAATGAGCTTAAAAATGAGATAAGAAAATTTTGTGAATCACCGTCATCAAAGAGAGTTATGATCAAGATTCACAATCTTGCAAAGTAAGTTGTTTTAAACATGTGTAAAAAATGTTAATTAAAAAGCTATGATTTCAAATGTGCTGCTTAAAATACAGGGTTTTTTTTGTGCAATATTATTTTTTTTGTATTTTTTTCTGGTAAACTTTCCCAAAAATAATTATTGGTCTATAAACTACCCTTAGCAGTTTATTTTGCACAGATAATATAATGTAAAGGATAGCGCGTTTTATTATTGTTCAGTAAAGAAATAAATGACTTGACTTACTTATAGTCAGAGGTTTTAAACTGCATCAAAATATACTTCATGCATTACATAATGTACCGTGTGAAGTAAATGGTGGCGGGGTGTGTGAGTGAATAAGTGACTAAATCCTGTCAGTGTACTTATATAAACCTTACTTTATTTCTTATCAGATTAAAAGGTGAAGGACTGGGCTATCACTTTGACCACTGTGACATCCTGTGTTTTCAAACTTCACCAGATAACATAAAGTCACTGCGGGTAATTTTAGTTAGTTTATAGAGAAAGTAACGTTATATGGTTGTTATTCTGAAAATTGTTTATGCGTTGGCAGTTTTAGCTTAGATATCCTTAAATGTGTTGCTGCTCCATGGTAGTTGTATGCTTGATAACGAGAAGTTTTGTAAACAAATTTCCTTATATTTACTATTAGAAATTATTTTAATTTATAGGTTTTATTGTAAAATGTAATTTTGTAAAGAACATTCTAAAGATTTTCTTACACCACTTTTTTCTTTCTTCAAGGAATTCTGCAGAGTTCTTTACCTCAAGCATGACGTAAAGATAATTCTACGAGGAATTGAAGTGAAATCAATTCTTGATGCTGACTATTTTCATTTTTCCAAAACCTACAACTGCAATCTAGGAGAGGTTATTGAAAATTTGTGTTTTTGCTTCAGGACATCATGTTCAAAACAAATTTAATTTTTTTAACATTTATTATATAACTATAGGTCATTTTTTTTTAAATTAATTCTAAAGAAAAATTACACAACTGTTTTCATTTCTTCAACTGCTATCAACAGGAAACGCCTCTAGACATCACATTTGGTTTTCCCAAAGATAACATAAAGACCAAGGCTTGTGGATTGATTATTTACCATAAAAATAGACTAGTCAAAATAAAAAGGGTAGGAAGAAATTTTCATTTTCATTAGGTTACAATTGAATGACTTTTCAAGTTTGGTTAGCATATAACATATGTTCTTAACTTACAATAAATTATGTTTACTCTCACACAATCCATATAACTATACATACACTTAAAAATATTTTAAGTTTACTCCAACCTATATTTGAAAGTGAATTATTGTTGTTTAGGTTACAAATGCTGAAAGGCTTATAGGAGTGGTGAATATTGACTGTTTAACACCTACTGCATTTAAACAAGATTTTATCAAAGATGACAAATACAGGTGAGACGTGGACACAGTGTAGAACTTTCAGATTTTGTTAAAATAAAACCCTAACAATTTAACATTTTGATAACATGAGTATCTATTTTAGGCACACAATGAAGTTGTTGAGACGAAAAAAGAAACACTTCATAAAACAGGGAGCAAAACTGGGACTTGTTTAAACAGTAGTTGGGTAAATAAAATGTCTTGTATTTATTTTATTCTTCATCGGTTGATTGTATGTATGTGCAATGTCATTAGAAAATTACCCAAAAACTTATCATCTAAAATCCAAACAATTTGTTTATTAATTCATGGAGTATATAGTGTTGTAATGTGCTAGCTGTCAAATATTTTGGTGGGAGGAGGGGGGGGGGGAGGTAGCATCAATACATGTTGTAACACTCCAGCAGGAGAGGGTGGGGTTGGAATTGTGTGCTGATGTATTTATGGGAAAGGGAATCCAGGTCTTTAAAAATGTGACGTTACAATTTTCCCATCTAAAAAGTACTCTTTTTAACTATATTATATATCCGATGTTTTACTAACTTTTTAATTTACTTACAACATTTAACATTTTACTTTTATTTAACTTCAGAATGTGATGTTTCCTTAATACATGTCGCTTCATGTGAAGAATCTGATTTGATTACAAAGACAGCAGTGAAAGGCAACCAACTTGCAGCTAACAATATAGAACGAGCAACAATCATAATTCATTAACATATATGAATGATTGACTTTTTTTGCAGTTTTAGAAAGGAGTTTGTTGAAATAAATTTCTATAAAAATATAGTTGTTGCCATGTGAAAGGAGGATTTTGAAAATATTGCTGGACACAATACAACAATTTAAATTAAAACAGAAAGGTGTTTACTGTTTTTTTATGTGTCGTTGTTGTCAGTGTTTTAGTTGGTGAGCAGTTGTATGGTTTATGCTGAGCAGCTGTGTATTTACTTTGTGTGGCGAAATGCTGGTTTCGGATGTTGTAGTTAACTGTTGTTTGTTTTATTTGCTATGATGGTAGTATTCATAGTTTGGTTAGGTAATTATCGTGAATAAGATGTTACAGGAAAATTATGTTGTAATATTTTTTTGTTTGAGATTATTTTTAAAAATATGTATTTGAACCTCCGGAAATAACCACTTCAATGATAGTCAAGTGATAGAGCGCTCGACCGCGAGCCTATAGGTCTAAAGTTTGGATCTCCATCAGGACTCTTAGCTGTCCCTGCGTCAACTTAGTTCTGATTGCTATCTTGCTCGTGGTAGGTAATCCTAATGCCGCCGGGCATAGATCTGACCCTTAATATTCTGAGAAACGTCTGTCCTATAGATCGTTAGGTCTATAATGGGAACCTTAGTTTAATTTAAAAACTACCTACCCGTATCAATACAAAACAGCCTACACTACCCCAACCTATGTTGACATATTACGTTAGACATACCACAGGAGAATCATATCACAATATCACCCAAGCCTGAACAACATACGTGTGACGTAGTTTGGGTCAGTTGTGTGTAGCAGGCCTAGTTAGTCTAATGCTGATCGCTCAGCCAAGACGTATTCTATAATATCAGTGAGCTGGGGAGGGACCAGAGTTTCTTCCAGGCATCTCTTCTGGGGGGGGGGGGGGGGGGGGGCTCAACCCCCGAAGAAAGTCTACCCCCTCCCCTCGAACAAGATGGAATGTATACAGTAAAAATATACTTTTACTAGTTCCGCCGCCCCCCCCCCCCCCCCCGGAAAATGTTGACCGCCCCCCCCCCCTCCCCCGGAGAAAAAAGTCTGGAAGAAACACTGCTGGGGACACAGTAGCGGCACCCTCAGGATGGCGGTTTCCAGTCTAACAAAATTACCAACTAGACCAGAAAATCCAGGCCTACCAATATTTAGAACAAAGCAGAATGTCAATGCACAAAATCTTCCAAATGTGTTGGACTGAAGGATTGATGTTCGGTTATTAATGGCGCACTGTAGACAACAACAGATATTATACACGCTCAAATCCACTCGATGTCAATCAAAATGTGAAAGTTAGATTAGTACACTGATTCACATCGCGAGACATGGATCGATAGTGATGTTTGGTGTTTGAAACTTTCGGGATAGATTGTACTATTAAAATTCATAAATAAAGTGAGTTTTTTTCCTAGAAAGACAAAGGTTGTGTTAAAATGATGGTACCTTTAGGAGGGTTGTATTCATGAGATGTTAGCTACCAGTGTAGTTCCAGTATAACATGTTCAATGCCACAATTAGTTGTTTTATTATTATGTGGGGGGGGGGGGGGGGGGGATTTCATTGAACTCACTTGTGTACACATAAATGTTTTTAAATACTGATGTAGTTTCTTAACCATTATATGAACTTTTCATCACAAGTTTAGTTTATTCAGTTTAAAAAACTACTGTATCAAATATTAAAAAGTGTCATCAGAAAATAAAAATATGTCGCTCTCATAGGTTACAATTGAAAAGCATTGAATTTAAATGCATAAATGGAATTAAGAGCAATAAGCTGTTCTATGATTATTTTATTTTTATTCTGACAAAGTTTTATTTGGCTATAAGGATTTTTTAAAAAAAGGCCATTAACAATTTCTTAAACGTCCAGAGGCGTAGCGAGGGGGGGGGGGGGGAGGACATATGTCCCCGGGCGCCAACCTTAGGGGGGGGGGCCAAAATGGGTTGAAAAAACAAATCGAAAGTTTGAGGGGGGGGGTGCAAATCGAAAGTATGTACCCGGGCGCCGGGAAGGGTCGCTACGCAACGCCTCTGTAAACGTCTAGGCTTTGTCTAAGCGTAGACTATTGCCCAAAAATCGCTTCAGTTTCATCACCATGCCCCGTTCAAGATTTATGGGCCTTTTGTAATAGGACATGTTACACCCCGCTTGCATCAGTCGACGACCCCACAGAGTCCTACAAATAGACCTACCATTACGCTTATTGTATTGTGCAATAGAAACCAGCCAGAGTGTTTGGCCTTTATTTTTATGGACAGTTGCTTATCTTGTAAGTTTTACCATTTGTTTTCGTTGACAATAGATTGTGCACATATTAGGTTCTAGAACACGAACACAGGTTGTGGCGTTTATCATTTTGTTACTTTAGTGGCAGTGCTTAAGGCACGCGTGACATAGCTATTTAATTAGGGGTCGTCCGTAAATGACGTCACAAACGTAGGGGGCAGGAGGGGTCCGTAGTTTTGTGACGTTGTATGATGAGGGGTAAGGAGGGTGTCAGATAGTGTGACATCACAAAAAATTAAGTTAGAAATGGAATTTTAGCCATTATTTTTGCGTTTTAGAAAACTGTTTTAATAAATTGTAATAAAAAATTGATTAAAGGACTGTATGTTGCCCAAGTTTAGACAATATTGTAGAAAAAAATAAACTATTTTTCAAAAATGAGCGTGGGTGTATGTTGAACTGACGTCATTTTGGGTGGAGGGGGGATGTCTAGCATTTGTGACGGAGGGGGATACAAAATCTCAAAAAAAGCGTGGCATCAAAATATTGTTAAATTCATTTTTAGATTGCTAAATGTTTTGTTTTTTTGTATATTGAAATGAAAATTGATCGTTGCAACGTATATAGAGCCTGATTATCTAAAATATTCAGATTTAAATTAATAGTTAATGTAAAATCAACCTTTTATACGGTCAACTGTAGTTATATATTGATTCTAGCAAAGGGAAAAAACTCGGTATTTATTACATAATTAAATTATCTTAATTATTTCCCTTACCGCTGGGAAACAATTATATTATTTTTTTTTTTTTTTAAATGTGCCCTCTTCGTTGTCCTTTTTATTATGTATATAAGTAAATACCCCTAGAGTATCTATAATGGCCGATTATCTGTTTAAACTGACTTATACACGGGTCCCTTGAATAGAATTTTTTTTTTTAATTCTCGGCGTCGTTTTAAAGAAGGCCTAGTGGACGTCCGAGTTTTTGTGTTGGGCCAAAGCTATTTTTGTCCCTCGGCAGTGGACACAAAGGCGATTGACCTAAATAAAACGGGTTGGGTTTGGTTGGTTAGATTTTCTAGACTCTTGGTGTATTGCGTAGATTCTAGATCTTGTCTAGATCTAGATCTAGTGAGTTTTTGTCTTTTTTTTATAACTTTATTTTTTTAATATTCCGCCCAGATCTAGATCTAATGAAATAGTTAGATTTTGACTTATATTCTGGTAGGCTACTAACTACTAACAATACTAAGTACTAAGATCTAAATCTAGATCTAGATCAGTAACTAGTACTAACTAGGCCTATAGTATAAGTAATAAAGTATAGATCTAGATCTAGAATCTAGGGATAGATCTTAGATGGCTATCATATCATAGTATTCTATCTTTATAGGCCTAATCGATAGTCTACTTCTCTATACCATTGATTTTGCTAATGGAATAGTAGGCATTTGTTATTATTATTATTGTTGTCATTATTATTGTTATTAGACCTATTATTATTATTAGGCATATTGTTATTATTAGCCCTATGTTATTATTATTATTATTATTATTATTAGACCTAATAGGCACTAGGGATCATCCATAAACAGTGTTTCTTCCAGACTTTATTCTCCGGGGGGGGGGGGGGGGGAGCGGTAGACTTTCTTCGGGGGGGGGGGGGGGCGGACACTGTTAAAAGTATATATTTTCTATATAAATTATATAAATTTCATTTCGTTCGGGGGGGGGGGGGGCGGTAAAAATTGGCCCCCCGGAGAGATGCCTGTAAGAAACTCTGTCCATAAATGACGTCACACTCGTAAGGGGATGGGGGAGGGGGCCGGAATTTTGTGACGATGTGTGATGAGGGGGAGGGGGGGGGGGGCGTTCAGATGTTGCGACGTCACATTTTTGCATTATAAAAAAGCAATGTTAGAAAACGAATTTTATACGTTATTTCGCATTTTAGATAACTGATTTAATAAATTGTAATAGTTTAGACAAGATTTTAGAAAAATATCGATGTTTTAAAAAAATTCAACTGCACTTTTGAGGGGGGTTATAGGTTGAGGTGTGGCGCAGTAGCGTAGCGAGGGGGGGGGGGGGCGGGGGGGACATATGTCCCCGGGCGCCGAGCTTAGGGGGCGCCAAAATGGGTTGGAAAAATAAATTGAAAGGTTGAGGGGGCGCAAATTGAAAGTTTGACGGGGGGGGGGGGGGTGCAAATCGGAAGTTTGAGGGGGGGGGGGGGGGGTTGCAAATCGGAAGTTTGAGGAGGGGGGGGGGTTGCAAATCGAAATCTCGAGGGGTGGGGGGTGCAAATCGAAAAGTTTGTCCCCGGGCGCCGGGAAGGGTTGCTACGCCTCTGGTGTGGCGTCATTTTAGGGGGTTCTGGCTTTTTGTGACGACGTGTGACGGAGGGAAGGGGAGGAGGTAAAAATCGTCAAAAAGCGTGACGTCATATATGGATGACCACACTATTGAAATTTTCGGGGGGGGGGGGGGAGCGGTAGACTTTCTTCGGGGGGGGGGGGCGGACACTGTTAAAAGTATATATTTTCTATATAAATTATATAAATTTCATTTCGTTCGGGGGGGGGGGGGGGGGCGGTAAAAATTGGCCCCCCGGAGAGATGCCTGTAAGAAACTCTGTCCATAAATGACGTCACACTCGTAAGGGGATGGGGGAGGGGGCCGGAATTTTGTGACGATGTGTGATGAGGGGGAGGGGGGGGGGGGCGTTCAGATGTTGCGACGTCACATTTTTGCATTATAAAAAAGCAATGTTAGAAAACGAATTTTATACGTTATTTCGCATTTTAGATAACTGATTTAATAAATTGTAATAGTTTAGACAAGATTTTAGAAAAATATCGATGTTTTAAAAAAATTCAACTGCACTTTTGAGGGGGGTTATAGGTTGAGGTGTGGCGCAGTAGCGTAGCGAGGGGGGGGGGGCGGGGGGGGACATATGTCCCCGGGCGCCGAGCTTAGGGGGCGCCAAAATGGGTTGGAAAAATAAATTGAAAGGTTGAGGGGGCGCAAATTGAAAGTTTGACGGGGGGGGGGGGGGGGTGCAAATCGGAAGTTTGAGGGGGGGGGGGGTTGCAAATCGGAAGTTTGAGGAGGGGGGGTTGCAAATCGAAATCTCGAGGGGTGGGGGGTGCAAATCGAAAAGTTTGTCCCCGGGCGCCGGGAAGGGTTGCTACGCCTCTGGTGTGGCGTCATTTTAGGGGGTTCTGGCTTTTTGTGACGACGTGTGACGGAGGGAAGGGGAGGAGGTAAAAATCGTCAAAAAGCGTGACGTCATATATGGATGACCACACTATTATTATTACTCAGATCGGCCTATAACTCTCTTTATTAGATGGGTTTTAATTTTAAATTTTAGTTTTAATAATCTAAATCTCTAGTGGCTTTAGAGTTCAGAGAGGAAAATGTGCTGAAGTCTGAACTTCTCGTACGATTATTGAAATCAATGTGTTACGATTGAGGCTTAGGACTACTAAGTAGACACTAATATAAAAAAAAAAATAATATGACTATTTTTTTCACCCTCCATCGCAATCAGCCCATCAGGCATCTCCCCACCCCCCGAAGAAAATCTACTGCCCCCCCCCCCCCTCCCGAACGAAATGGAATTTATATAGAAAATATATAGTTTTGACAGTGTCCGTCCCCCAACCCGAAAATTGTTGTCCGCCCCCCCCCCCCCCCACCCCCACCCCGATAATTTCAAGTGCACCCCCGGAGAAAAAAGTCTGGTATTTTATGATGTTTTATTCCAAAATACAGGATTTGAGTAAACCTATGTAATAGCCTGTTTACTAATTAAATTAGGCTTAGGCATAGGACCAACTGTTTTAGTAACTAAGTCACCAATAGTGTAATCCTTTTGTCCTAAAGCCTTTCAATTCTAATGCATATGAAATGAGTAGACTTGAGCGTGCTATCTGATGTCGTTATTGTAACTTATATTGTATATATATATATATATATATATATATATATATATATATATATATATATATATATAGGCTATACGCTTTTATTGTAATATTTTCTTGTTGCTTTATAAAATGGAATACCACTATAACCGTAATTATTATTTTATATTCTTTATCACAGATACTTTGTGTATTTTTTCTCTTCGTTGTGCAGCATTTAATGGCAGAGATGAGTATCGACATTTCAGAGGTAATATTGGGTCTATTAAAACACTGTTAGGTCTACTTAAAATGCAAAATGGTGTTCAGTGTTTCTTCCAGATTTTTTTCCCTGGGGGGGCACTCGATATTTATGGGGGGGGGGGGGGGGCGGTTAACATTTTTCGGGGGGCGGACACTAGTAACAGTATATTTTTACTATATAAATTTCATCTCGTTCGGGGGGGGGGGGGGGGGGGTAGACTTTCTTCGGGGGGGGGGGGGGGCAGAGCACCCCCGAAGAGATGCCTGGAAGAAACTCTGATGCTGTTAAGCCTGCTTGGGATTTTCAATTGCCTCTCACAAACTTGGCCGCCCTAAAATACACGAAGTAGATTTCATTAAGAACTGATGTCCAATTTAACATTAAAACTCCACATTTGACTTAAATTTTTCCCCATAAAGATCAGGTATTCCCCAGGGCTGGCTGCCCACAGGAATGTCCTGCAGTCACAACATACCTACATTAATTAAACTATCAGACAAGTTAGGATATTTTTTATCTGCTAGATTTCTATAGTAAACTTAAACCATAAGACTAGATTAGACATTTTTTGTCAAATAGATTTCTATAAAATCCAAAAATAATAGACACGTTTTATCATTTTTATCATATTTCTATAGTAATATTAGTAACCTAAAACTATCAGACAAGAATAGATATTTTTATTAGATGGACTTCTATAAAAACCAAAGACTATCAGACAAGTCAGGATATTTTTATCAGATAGATTTCTGCAGTTACCTAAAACTACCAGACAAGTTAGGACATATTTTTTTTTCAGATAGATTTCTGCAGTAAGCTAATAGAGTTTTAAGGAAAAAATAATACTGCTTGATTGTGCAGACAAAGAAGTAACTATCTTAAGACGTATTGCCGTAATAATCTACATCAGGGGTCTCCAAACTTTTTAGTCTGAGGGCCGCATTAACTATCAAATTTCAGTTCGGAGGCCAGTTTCTTCCAGGCATGTCTTTGATTTTTCTGGGCAAACTTCCTCAGCCATCACCAACAAACGATTTTTCCTTGGACAAAAAGATCTCCGCGGGCCGGATGAGAGGACTTTGCGGGCCGCATCCGGCCCGCGGGCCGTAGTTTGGAGACCCCTGATCTAGATTTCTGAGAGAGAGAGTAAGAGACAGAGAGTGAGAGAAAGAGAGAGAGAGAGAGAGAATAAACGGAATCAGGGAAAGCTATTATTGACGTATTTTAATTTCTACAGGTACCGGAACTTATTGCGGATCTGATGAAAATGATTAGAGAGGGCGACTACTCAGCTTTTAAAACGAAAGTAGAATTTTACAATCTAGGCAAAGATGTATTAAACAAAACCATCAACGACAAGTGCACCCTCTTAATGTGTGCGAGCTACCACAAGCACCTAGAGATCGTCCAGCTATTGCTGGAGAGAGATTGTGATGTGAATTTTAAAAGTAACCCTAACTGGACCGCCTTGATGTTTGCGGCACATGCGGGGAGTGTTGAGGTGCTGAAGCTACTCTTGGAGAAGGGGGCGCAAATCAACGACGTCAACAGTCTGGGGTCCACAGCTCTCATCCTCGCCACGTCAAGAGGTCACAAGGACGTTGTGGAGATTCTCCTGAATGAAGGGGCGGATACAGACGTTGTTAACTTTGCTGGGTGCAACGCTCTAAAGTATGCCGAGAAGAAACGATTTAAGGAAATCGCCTCACTTATTTTAAAATGTAAACCCAATTCATAAAAATTTTTTTCGATAATCAACTACCTTCTGGTGGGTGTTATTTTGTTTCTCATAATTCTGTATTATCGACAATAAACTTATATTTAATGAAAGGAAACAGCACATAACTCATGGTCATTCGCTCATCACCCCATTAGTATCCCTCAAACTATTTCACATGAAGCGATACCCTTATATTTATGACTTTGAAGGGGAGAGGGATGAAAAATTGACTTTTGTAGAATAGTGAAGGTTGTGGTGTTAGTGTCCATGCAGAGGCGTATTGCGCAGAGCGCCGACCCTAAGGGGGGGGGGGCGCCACATACGGTAGATTTTGTTTTGTCATAGACTCATTTTAAGCTGTATGACTGAATTGTCCGCAGTCAAGCTTTAGAAAATATACTGCTACCTGACTTTACGGATTTTTAAAACTGTTTTCTACATCAATTCAAATATTTGACTCCATGGTAAAAGAGAAAAAGCGCCCTGACCTATTCAAGTTGGTGGGGGGGGGGGGGGATTTGTTTTTTACCAACGTGAATATCTATATAAATGGAAGGGCGCATAATTTATGGTTCGTCCCGGGCGCCGGTATGAAATATGGAACGAAAAGATAAAAAGAATCTGCTTACAAGACATATACGTATATTTTAAACGGCGGTTAATTAAATCATGTAACTATGAAATTAGTGCATCAGAAATTTAAGCAAGTAAACAGTGTTTCCTCCAGACTTTTTTCTCCGTCTCTTGAAATTTTTGGGGAGGGGGTTGGCTAAAGTTTACTTCAAATTTTCGGGGGGGGGGGGGAGATAAAATTTCCGAGGGGCGGTCACTGTTAAAAGTATATATTTTCTATATAAATTCCCTTTCGTTCGAGGGGGGTGGGGGTGGCGGTAGCCTTTTTCCGGGGGGGGGGGGGGGGGCGGCACCCCTCCGAAGAGATGCTTGGAAGAAACTCTGCAAGTAATGAAGAAAACAGAAATTGGGATATTGAAATCAGCGTGAATGCAAACAGCTGTGTAAATTCATTGAGAATTAAACTTTAAAACCTATTCTACAGTAAGCAAACAGAATGTAACAATAGGTATTGTTAATATGCATTTAACTTAAATTAAGTTCAAACATTGAATACATTTATTTTGTATTCTTACTTTATTAGTTTCAATCCACAATACCGCTTGAAAATGTATCTTTTTTCTTCTAATTTGGTAATCCTTTATTTCCATGCAAAAACTAATTAACCTTCAAATAATTCTAACATGTCTGAATGATCTTATGAGGGTTTATTAGATTTTAATTTGCTTGTATATTACCCACATGCAACTGTGTAAAGAGCGCATAGCGTGTAGCGAGATACATTTCATTTTAATATTGTGTAGCGTCATAGTGTGTTCGGCTTTAATTTTTGTCCATGATTATAATGAAAATAAGGTCAACGGTTTATGGGATGTAATAAAATAGATCTATATGAAATTGTTTAATATAAATAACATTTTACATGACACGTGCAGTTATATGAGTATATTGATTAAGTTAAGTAAAATTTCAGATCTGAGTGTCGTCTGCGTAGTGCAGCATTGTAGAGAGCATTGTGGAGGCAGATTGATGCCTACTAGTCTTTGTCTTTTCCTAAGTTAGGTAATCTTTAGCGCTAGATGGAATCAGGGACTTCGCTTGGAGCTCTCATATCAAACCTATCCTCACCCTATCAATAACTGGGCGGGGGGTAATTGACAGGGATAATAGCTTCAGGGAATGTCCGGAGGGGGGGGGGGGTAATTGACGGAAGGGGTAATGTCCTGCACCCCTATTGAAGATTATGTTTTAAAATTAATGAAATAACATTGTTGTGATTGAAAAATGTACGCGTTTCCAGGATCAAGAAATATTATAATATTTTTGGTGATAAGACAACAACAACAACTTGCTAGTTTCAATAGTTTTATTGTGGATTGGTCTTCAAAACATTTTAACTTTTGAACAAAACTTTCGGATGCAAGAGAATTGTTCACCTAAGCTTGTGTTTTCTTCGTTGAGTTCTTGACATTTTCTCTTCTGAGTTTGATCTTAATCAACCATGGAACAGCATCGCAGTTTGATGATACAGCCCAAGTCGCTACAGCCGTCACGGTACAGACCGACAACAAGCTTACCGTACGGACAGCGGCAACAACCTTCTCCCCGACGCAAACAAGGATGGACGGAGTGGTCTTCACATGCGCCGTAACGAGAAGGGTGGTTGCGGGGTTTGTGACACTGGCCTTTTTTTAAAGAATTCAGTCTCCCGTCGCCCGTTTGTCTGTAGATACCTGTGAGGAAATACCCAGTAGGACATACAGACCAAGTGTGTATTCTGCTCATCGTTGAGCGCCAGTTTGCTTCTTGGGTGCTGCCAGATATGTTCCATTGTTCCGACACGCAGCAGTAACCGTGTCCCAAGTTGTCAACATCATCGTACATGCCTGCCTGGTCGTTTCGACAAAAACCGTCAAGGATTTGGATCATGTTGTTCTGCGTACCACACGTGGACCAGCCTGTTCTTCTGAGGGAGTCGTACCAGTTCTTAGTAACACACCAGGAGTGGACGCCAGCCACAAGCAGCATCAGTGCTAGAACTTTCACTTCGATAAAGCCAGGCATTGCTGAAATACATCGAATCAATCCATGCTATAACTTTAGTAGCTACCCACTTTAAAAAAATGAACATATATATTTTTTTTAAAGTTCAAACTATAAATTGTTGATTAATGTGACGGCCGAACTGGCGGTAGCTTAGGGCCCTAGATTATATACAGTTATCTTCAGCTAAATTAATTCACTAAAACTAAGCATTCATCCCTATCTAGTCAAATATTTCAAAACGTATAAAAAATAGTTGTTTTAAAAACGCATAGAATAATAAGAAAAATTGGGCATTGCGATTTGATTTTGTTTCTTTTCTCGTTTATACTGACCAAGGTACTGTGATTATTAACTTAAAGGGTATGCGCGGTTTTTTCCTATTTTTTACAATTTAATATCTAAAGCCTTTTGAATACTTTTATCATGTTTGGCATATGAAAGTAAGTATTTAAAAAAGCAAAAAAAGGGTTGAAAACAATTTTGGTTGTCATGGAAACCCAAAAAACCTCCGCCATTTTGAATTTTTCGGTACTTTTAAAAACGCTAAGACTTTTTTATTTATGCACCTATAGCAATCAAATTTAAACTGCTTATATTTCAGTATATATTAAAACTTTTGTCACGAAAACGTTTTGAAATAGCTGCTAATAAGAATTTTACAAAGTCTAAAATAAATCGTACCATTTTTAGTGTTCAACAGTTTTAAAATTTGCATATTAATTACCAAAATCCTTTTTTTCTATGAAAGCCATCACCATTCCCTCGTGACGAAAGTTGTATTTTTGCATTAAAAACAATTACTGAAAATATGGTGGCGATTGATTAATAAATAAAAAAGGAGTAGGCTTTATAGTGTTAAAATCTTTCGAACTGAGAAAAACAGCCAAAAGTAACGAAAACTAGATCATGAAAATACCATATCTGTGTAAACTGCAAGGCCGATTGTAAGCTTTGGGTGTTTCCGAGATGATGGAAATTAAGATTATCAAATAAAGGAGAAATCCAACTTTCCAATGATGCCAAATACAATATGATGAAGGATATAAAACTTTTCATAGAGAGCGCGGAAGATTGGGAAAAATTGATTAATTTTTAATTAATAGGGTCATACAAATGGTAATTTAAACACATAAAATTTTTATTTTCTTTAAAGTTATTATTTTCTTAATAAAAAATGAACAAAGTATCCAAAAGTGCAAGAAACCCATCATGAACCCAACATGACGACAAACAAGAAATTGTGTGATTTTTTGCCGCGCATATCCCCTTAAGTATAAACATATTTAAATCAGTTTTCGAACTTATTAATATATTATTCAAATAGCACTATACAAATAAATCATCAAAATGTTTTTTAAGTCGATCAAAACCTATCAGACTTAATAGTGCAACCAAACTTTAAGTTGTCACCATAATGAAGATTTTTTTGAATGACATTTAAAAATTTGACTGTTCAGCTCTAATATGTACACTACATAACAAACATAACATAAATTTAAAACATACATACTTCACCTTTTGTTTGAGTGTCTCAGTAATAAGGATGATGGAAGGACTGTAGCTTTTATAATAAAGGCTAATATCGATCAATTGTAGACGGGTCTCCGTTATATTACTCCGTCCTATCCATTCGAGAATTATTTCCAAAACCTAAGGTGCAATGTTTATTGTAGCTCCGAATTGTATATAAACTTAAAACGTGTCGACGCCAACTAAAATTTAGCTTTGATGTTAGGTTGAAATCGTCGCTATACCCCCTTCCCACATTCTTCGCACCCTCAAACGGATAATAACATACCCAATATGTGAAGGTTCATTAATACTAGCCGTATCGGCTAGGATTTGCTCTAGTCATTTATAGCAATATCAATATTTAAAAGATAACAAAAACATGCATGCGATTTTAAATAATTTGCTTTTAAACAGCAATGTATAAAGCTAAGATAATGATGGAACAAAAAAATCTTTACGTGGATATGAAACAAGCTACACATCACCCGCCCTTCCTCGATAACACTGCTCCATACACACATGTGTTCGAGTTTTTTCAATAAAAAGGAGCCACGGCATGATGATACTTTCTATTTCCTGACGAAAAATAAATATTAAAAATAATGTTGTCCACCTAACTAAATCAGCATCCAAGTTATCTTTATTTTTTTTTTTAAAGTAGAGTAATGTACAGCTTCTAGTGATGGAAAGTTAAAAAAAAACAGAATGTTATTCAAGTTTACTATCTTACACAAACATAGGAAATTTCGTCTACTTAACTGAAACAGTACTCAAGTTATAGTCTTCAAATGGAAATAAAGTAAAGTAACACTTTCAGTACTGCAACCTTGATATGACGAATGTTCTCATAGTTTGTATTTTTGTTATCGGTTCAATAGTCGTTTGAA